CCCAAAGTTAAATGGTACATCAGAAAGGGCCCTGTGGTAAAAAACTACCTGTATTTATTACATCTTTATAAACAACTTTATAATATATCATTCTACCAAAACAATTACAAAAGACAACTTTACGCTCTGGGGAAAAGTTCTGATTTGATTTCAAAGCATATGGTGCCCCAAAACATCAAATACAAAACAAATTACAAACCCGATTTTGGTCGACAACATCCATGATAACACACAGTCGCCCTTCTTCAGGGCCCGAATTTATCAACGCAACGCGTCCGACCTCAACAAAACGATTGTAAACCTACGAATAAAACATATAGAATATGTAGGGATAACTTAAACCTGCTTATTTGTACGTATTTGGAGTTTAAAAGAGCAAAAAATTACGGCAAATTTTGTTCACGTGTCTGACTCACCATTTTGAATATTTCAAAGAGAAAGAAGGTCTGCAAAGCATTCTGGGATATAGAACATATTAGAATCCCGTGATTCTTCGGGGGTTTGCAATGCACTGATCTTTGATCCTTAATATGTTTAGTAAGTGGAGTGATTGGATGGACATAACGAGTTTATCCAAAATTTAGGTTCACTAGCCTGGCTGTACCATAGAAATCTTATATATATATACATATAATCTGTATATAAATACACTAGATAGCGCATCTCTTTTAATAGTAAAATTGAAGCCAAGAATATTCCAGCGGTTACCCCCATTTGAATAGATGGCGGCCATGTTGGTCGTTCCCACTCGCTAATAAACACTTAAAAACAACAATAACTTTCATCATTTGAATACTTTAAAAATGTATTTGGAATAGGGTTAACTTAATGTTTAAGTTCCCTGTTTAAGAAATAGGAAATATACGAATCTTCTCATTTCATGGGAACGACCTGAGACTGCAATCACGGCTTCAATTTTTGAATTGCAGAATAATTAGATGCACTATCTAGTGTATATAAGATATCTATGGGCTGTACGGATTCATGGCTCTGGGTACGAGATTGGTACTGGTTTACATTTTCAATAAAACTTTTACTGTTATTTTTACAGTGACGATTCTTTTTGAGACTTGCCCTATGAATGAAGATAATAAAGCAGGCTCTGGGATTGATAATCGTTTTCTTTGGGGCCATTCACAAAATACGTGACGCTCGTGGGGGTGTTTGATCAAAAGTCACATAGTGTCACAAGAGGGGAGAGGGGTAACACAAGCGGTATCACGTGACGGAGAGGCGATAGGGGAAAATTTATCCATGTCTATAACAAAACAAGACCCTACTTGCAAATATGTGTCCCTAAGTCTTAAATGACAAATCGATGTTTTCTATCAAAATACTCCTCCTGGCACCGCCATGGAATACGACACTTTCGTTTATTCAACGAACCAGCGAGACCCTGACTGGGAAACTGTTTAGGCTGAGGTTTAATAAGACTTTGAAATAGTGTCGATTTATAAATAACGTTTTGAATCGTTGTCGCATATTAAATTTGTGTTTTGTGAGTATTTTTTTTTTTGGGGGGGGGGCGTTTGTTGTTGGCTCAGAGTCACGTATTTTATGATGGAGTGTACTGCTGGCTGTCCATAGATATCTCATATGTGGCTGTCACACGCTAGGGACCTGAAGCATGTACGACGGCAACGCGACGACGACAGCCAAAACAAACTTCTTCAAATAAATTATTGTGAAAAGTTGTTGTGTATTATCCACTGCATGTATATGAATTTAGTTCAGTTTGAAGAAATTCAGTAAAACAAAGGCTAATTTATGGTTAAAAAACGCTTCTGTTGAGCAAATTTGTAGTTTCACTTGTCGCGTCTTGACATGTTTGCGTTGTACACGAGACGTGAAAATCTCTGGTTTGCCGTTGTAAAAAGCCCTAAGTCCTTAACACAACGCCTCTAACTGCCGTGGGGCTTTTAATTATTCATTTCTTTCGTACGAGATAGGGGTACCCGGTAGGGAGGGGTAAAAATTGGAAAAAACAGCGTCACGTATTTTGTGAATGGCCCCTTTTGGTTATTTCCTCGTGTTTCACTCACAAAGAACACAAAGAGTTTGGGATCATGGCCTATTCATGGGGTTATAACTTTCATCATTTCATGGGCGTTTGCCACTCTAACATAGTGTTCGGCCACGTACGAATATACTTGCCGATTAACCCAATTGTACGCAAAACTTAATTATACGATATATTGAGCCATAACCATAGATATATATTAACCCATAACTCTGCAATGTGGGGAACTGGGGATCCTGAATGTAAGTAGTATTTTACTGATATCAAGATTTTGTTGGCATCTTACTCGATTGAATAATAGTTTAAATTTTATATACATTTATATTTAGGCCAAGTAAAAAATAACTTGGTTATCCTAATTCTTAGGGTATGGGGGAGGAGTTTTTGAATTTCTATTTGCACCTATATACAATCAGCCTCATTCCCAGTGATATAAAATATGAGCATATTTAATATATCGAGGGTTTCTAGCAATCAACAGTTGGCTAGCGCTGGGGTGTATATCACACCCCAGCCGCGCTTGCATGTCCACTGTGGTTGATTTATATAAAAGTCGACAAATTCTTTCGGAACAGAAGATTTCTAAGGTATTCAGTGTATAAAATAAAAGATTTTAAAAAAGTTGGGGCGGAAGCCTTTTCACTGGTCGGGCGGGGACGCTAAATCAAGTTATTTTTTCACTTGTATATAAAATTTATACTCGATAATTTCAATCTACAAACTCGGCCTTCAACTATTATTCAATCGAGTGAGATGTCCTGATATGGGGGCCATGGCCCCCCCCTATTGTTGAGACCCGTCGGAAAATTGTCAATGTTGTCGGAAATTGTCGGAAAATTGTGAATGTTGTCGGAAATTGTCAAAGTTGTCGACGGTGAATTTAAAATGTTGTCGTCCGGAAAAATTTTTTGGTTTGTCGGAAAAAATTTTCGGTTTGTCGGAAAAGTACTGCCCTTGGCCCCCCCCCAAAAAAAAAATGGGTCCCACGGCGCCACTGCCCTGGGAACGAGGTTGGGCTCAACTTGGGCTCAACTTATTTTTATATACACGAACTTGTGGTTACAGCTCAACAACTGGACTCTGTATAGCTCAGTTGGTTGGAGAATCACCGGACGCACCGGTATTGTAGGACACCACACCACTGGCCCTTTTTGGTCTTCCCGACTCTTCCGCTCTTGCCGAGAAATATGCTTTGACGTCAAGGGCTTTGCATCACTGATCTGAGCTTTGCATTCTTTGCATGCTTCAAAGATCACCTTTCAGTGATATGCTTTGATCGCAGCGTTGCATGCCAAAGCAAATTTTCTGCGCTGTATAAAAGCGTATTTGTACATCGTGAAAAAATGTGCGATTTCGAAGATTACTCTGAAGAAATTTGGCGACGAAAAGAAAAGCTTTCGGAGGGAATCTTATCGTGTTGCGTGACAAACACGTCGCTTTTCATGACCAATGTATTGAGTAATGTTTACAACGAACTAACAGAGACATGTCTCCTGAGAGATTGGAGGAAATTAGCTGGGAAACTTCTAAAACCGCCCCCAACCAGTGGTACGATTGAAAAATTATCCAAAAGTGCGAATCCAGCTTGTGAATTACTTAAAATGTGGGTGTCAACAAGCGATGTACCCAAAACATTCGACTCTTTAATTGAGACAATGGTCGAATGCAAATTGTATTCGGCGTGTGACGAGTTGTTAGAGTTTCTCCAAAACTCGCCTTTAGACTTACTAGAACGCCAGGAAGAGTTGGTCTTTTCTGATGAAGTTGAAGATCAAAGCAACGAAACTTCAGAATTTCAACAAAATTCTCCGTCGCATCGCATAAATGAACAACAGAACTCTTCTCCATCCCCAGAAGGCGATGAGATTTTTATCGTCTGCTCACGTTCAGACAACAAAACACAAGCAATGAAGAGTCTTACGTCGTTCGTTTCAAAACTTGAACCAGTTAAAAAAGGCGAGCTGAAAGTCAGGAGTATACATGATACAAATCAGAACAGTCAAGTGAGCACTGCTTGGCTGCAGGAGCGGGTCAACCGGGCAAGATATGTGATACTGTGCTTCAGTAGTGACATGAAAGCAATCACAGAATGCCCTTCTAATATGCCACAATTCAAGCACCAAATGGACTATAATCTTAAGTTCACAATGGATTTTTTGGTCACGGGCAAAATTTATGAGAACGGTTGCCGAAACCCGAAAGGGAAGTTTATTCCAATCTTGTTGCACGGACATGATATGTCAACATTGATTCTTCCTCTGAGGCATTTCTTGCATTTCAGTTGGCCAAGTGAAAAGAAGAGAATCACCAAGTATATCATGAACCTCCCAGAAAAAAAAGTGCCATGCCAAGGACGACCCAAACGTTTGGTTCGAAGAGAACTATTATGCTGATATGCTATAGTCAAATCTAAACGCCAATTCACAATAAAAGCACTTCATAATGAAGTACATACTGTACAAAAATATAAAATATTCTTATAATAAACAATGTTATACTCGATGTTATATATCTCGTCTCTTTAATGTTCATATGTAGTTCATATTATACTGCAGGCCGCAAACCTGTAATTTTGTTCGACATATTATAATATATTAATCATATGCCATGCTGTACTGATTTTAAGACCAAAGTGACCAAACGCATTCAAAGGTGTTTTTTGTATGTATGTTGGGGGGGGGGATGTAGGCGATCTCTGGTAGGCGATATTAGAGACCTTACGATTTTAGGACGGCAACGGCTACCAATACAATAGATCATTGGACAGAATTGTGTAATTACAATATATGAATAATTTAGACATTGTCCTTGCTCTGTTTACAACGCCAAATCACAGATTTTCACGTCTTGATACAACGGCTGCATTCCAAGCCGCAACAAGTGCAACTTCAAACTGGGGTCAGTAGAACTCTTCCCAACTATAAAACCCATGTATTCAACTTCTGAGACTGTATTGAATTCATACGATTGATAATATACGACGAACTATTTTTACTACCATTTATTTGAAGGAGTTTGTTTTGGCCGTCGCAGTCGCGTTGCCGTCCTAAAATCGTAAGGTCTCTAGTCTCAGAGCACCACCCACTAATTCAAGAGACCGTCAGCGGGAATAATATTGGTATTATTAAAACGAAATATTTTCCGTTATTCTTACATTGTTTCATTCAGCAAAAGCTCAGGGCAATTTAGCCTGCTCACAGACGTTGTAGTTCTTACGCCAAGCGACGAAATAAAACTACAACGTCTGTGAGCAGGCTAAGGAGTAAGGGCAATTGTGATATTCAGAAGACAGAATTGTAAAAGATTGCCCTATGAACGAAGATAACAGATTGTACTGTTATTGCACTCTTGTCCAAGTCTCAGGACCCATGCATTGCCTCGTTTTCATCTGGTTAATATTTCCTGGTGTTTCGTCACACCTTTTGTCTAAAACTGTCGCATGCAACCTGCTTACAACTTGAGTTGTACTGTGTTGTGGATAAGTTTCGTGCACGAATGTCATCACTTTATAGGCGCTTGCCCTGCCTTACCTAGTAACCCAATAAGAACATCAGTTATTTGAATTACTAAATTATACAAGTTTTCGACGATTAAGAGATGCCTGCGGAGGGGGTTAATTTGCCCTAACTCTATTGGCTCTATTGTGCGCGAAACTTACGATATAGCTATATTAAACTCTAGATACTGTAGATAGTATTTTACTGATCTCGACATCTACCCAGAGCTAAATTAATCTACAAAACAACCTGTTTTTGCCACTGTGTTTTTGCTGTGCGATCAGTCATTATAAATGCATCACGTGACGCGATGCACGCACGTCACTGGCTCTTTTTCGTCTTCCGCTCTTCCAGAAAAATGCATTTGACGTCAAGCAAGTCAAGGCTTCCCATGCTTCGTTGATCATCTAGTTTCAAGCAGCGAATTTGGGAACGAAGTAATTTTCATGTATGGTTTGATCGTAGCGTTACATGGCAAAGTAAAGCGTATTTGTACATCGTGAAGCGAAGAAAAAAGCGATGTCCGACTTCGAAGATTATTCTGAAGAAATTTCGCAGCGAAAAGAAGCGCTTTCAGATGAATGTTTATCGTGTTGCGTGACAGCAGACACGCTTGTTTACGACGGCTTGACATTATTTTACGACGAACTAACAGAGACATGTCTCGGCCGAGATTGGAGGAAACTAGCTGGAAAACTTCTAACACCGCCTCCAACTAGAGCTACAATAAAAAAATTATCGAAATGTGAGAATCCAGCTCGTGAATTACTCCAAACGTGGGTGTCGCAAAGTGATGTGCCCGAAACGTTCGATTCGTTGATTGAGACAATGGTCGAATGCAAATTGTATTCGGCGTGCGATGAGTTGTTAGATTTTCTCCAAAACTCGCCTTTAGACTTACTAGAACGCTGCGAAAAGTTGGGCATTTCTAATGAAGTTGAAGATCGAAGCGATGGAACTTTAGAATTTAAAGAAAATCCTACGTCGCGTCACATGAGTGAACAAAACTCGCCTTCAGACTTACAACAATGCCACGAAAAGTTGGATCGAATCGATGTTGACGAAGTTGAAGATCAAAGCGAAACTTCGAAATCTCAACAAAATCCCACGTCGCCTCACATAACTAAACAACAACAAGAGGCCCAGAAAAGTCCCCTAAGATCCATAAGTTGCCCAGCTCGCGTTGGGGTGTTTACAAAAATTTACAAGGCACTAAAGAAACCATTCAAAAGGTCGAAAAGCTGCTCTCCCAAGTTAAGTGGGTCTGATCCTGACCCCCCTACACACATGCCCCCAACAGAACCTGACCCCCCTTCACCCCCAGAAGATGAGATTTTTATTGTCAGTTCAGATTCGGATAACCAAACACAAGCGATGATAAATCTGAAGTCGTTCGTTTCAGACCTTAAACCAGTTAAAAAAGGCGAGCTGAAAGTTACAAGTATACATGACATAGACCAAAATGGTCAAGTAACCACTGCTTGGCTGGAGGAGCGGGTCAACCGGGCAAGATATGTGATACTGTGCTTCAGTAGTGACATGAAAGCAATCACGGAATGCCCTCCTAATATGCCACAATTGAAGCACCAAATGGACTATAACCTTAAGTTCACAATGGATTTTTTGGTCACAGGTACGATTTACGGGAACGGTTGCCGAAACCCGAAAGGAAAGTTTATTCCAGTGTTGTTGCACGGACATGATATGACGACATTGATTCTTCCGCTGAGGCATTTCTTGCATTTCAGTTGGCCAAGTGAAGAGAAGAGAATTACAAAGTACATCATGAACCTCCCGGAACACCCAATGCCATGCCAAGGACTACCCAAACGTTTGGTTCCAAAAGAACTATCTTGCTGATATGCTAACATTCTCACTATAAACAATGTGGATTATAACAGTTGGGCAACCAGCTTTTGCAGAATGAAA